TCCTGCAATTTTTGTGCCATACTACTTTATTTGTCGTCATTATTTGGACAATTCTATTGTTAGTGTCCACCATTGCCAGCTAACAAATTCTCTACTACTACAAAGCAAGGCAACTCACCATACTCACTGAGATCACAATACAAAATATACAAGTTTCAATATTTATTTAGTTGTGTATTAATTCCTCTAGAAATTATTTATCAATGTTTGAGAGTAGTATCTTTGAAGACTTATTGAAATAAAGATAGTTCTCTCTTTAAAGCGGAGCTCATCATCTTAATCATTGTCCATGTCAATGTTTTACTTTTTTAACTTCTTAAAACTACAAGCCTGAATGATTTGATACTTGGTGTATATGTACCTTGAGTGGGACTCTCTTAGATTTGTTCATTTCATGCTGATTTCTTCAATTCTCTAATTTTGATGACTATTTTTTGTATTTGTTGGTAAAAAGTGATATTTTCGATTTCTTTTAAAAAACGCAAGTCTGATTGCTTTTACATTACATATATACGAGGGGCGTTCAATAAGTAATGCCCTTGACCCACTTCCCATAGCAGAAGATTAATGAAACTTGGTACAGTTATTAGTCTTTCTCTACAGAGTTATGCATTTCTCCAATCGTTTGATGCAGCTCTGGACACCCCGGGTTGGTCTTCCAACCACGTCGTAACTCAAAAACAACTTCATGGCTGGGAAGAGATGAAAGTTCAGAGGGTGCAAAGTAAATGAGAGTAAGGGGTTGTGGAGGATTTCATAGCCACACGCCTGTGCTTCTGATCTGGCGACATGCGAGTTATGGACTGGAGCATTGTCCTGCAGGAGGAGGATACCTTTTCTGATCTTGCCCCGCCTCTTGATCAATAGCTTCTCTTAATTTCATCAAAAGTGAAGCGTAATAGGCTCCTGTAATTGTGGTACCCTTTGCCAGGAAATCTGTCATTGCTGGTCCCAGAAGACTGTGAGCATGACCTTGCCAGCGGAGGAGTGCACCCTTGCCTTCTTTGTAGGTGGTGAGTCCAAGTGCTTCCACTGCATTGACTGGGCTTTGGTTTCTGGATCATAGTGATGGACCCAAGCTTTATCCTGTGTAATCAGTCTTTTGAAAAACTTTGACTCATCTTCTTGGCACATCTCCAAATTCATCCTCGAGCACTTACTTCTGGAAAGGTGTGAGCTATCTACAGTAGGAATCCATCTAGCAGACACCTTATGCATATGCAAATGGTCATGAATGATAGTTTCCACAGACCCTGTACTAATCTTGACCTCTTGGGCTATTTGGCGAACAGTAATGTGTCAATCTTTCAAAATGGCTGCCTTAACCTGACGGACAGATGCCTCATCAATGGCAGAAGAGGGACAACCAGGTCTAAGAGCTGTGTCCACAGACTTCCGGCCATGTTTGAATTCACAATGCCAGCGTTTTACAAGGTCATATGATGGGGCATCACCACCATAAGTTTCTTTCATTTCAACAAAAGTCTCCTTTGGTGTGCGTCTTTTAAAATACAAAAAACGGATCATTGGCCCCATTACACACCTGACTCAGTTCAAACACCTGTAAATCATAAACTATAGTTCAGAGCTATTTTTTGCAACATAACCCATAGAGATGTAAATCATTAACATGCAAAATTTCATCTAGATCAGACAACTGGAAGTGGGTCAGGGGCATTACTTATTGAACGCTTCTCATATCTCAGCCGACAGGCTGCTTGTTTATTCCCATGTGCACATAGCAATTTGCATAATTTATGCATAGCTTGTACATTATATGCAACTTGGGGGTTATTTAATACTGAGTAAAATTTAGTTCAGATATCCGTCTACTGCCTAATTGGACATCATTCAAAGTAAGACCATTTTTTTGTGTCTGTTTTTTTCCATTGGTGAATTTTGTATTTTGAGGTTCTAATATGCATAATATGCAAATTAGGTATTATTTACATAGAGACAGTGTGTCTCTTTTGATGAATCTTTTCCTTTTGATCCAAAGAACATGTGTGCCAAGTAGAAAGTTTGTACCACAAAATGCAGTGCATAAAAACCTCGAAAATTAATAATTGTCATGTACTAATTGACATAATTTATGCAAATTAGCTGGTTATTTGCATAAATACAAGATTTATTTTGCATGTTATTTTTCTGCTTGGTCCATAGACATTTTATATCAAGCTAGACATTTGTTTGACATGAATAAATATTTTTTAATATTTAGAAATTTTTCTTAATAATTATGCAAATTAGGCCTTATTTGCATAGATACAGAGTGTCTCTTTGGATGAAAAATGTTCAATTGCCCTAAGGAACATGTGTGCCAACTAGGACATTTGTACTAAAAAATGAAGCGTTTACCCCCTTAGCAAGTCTACTAAGACTTCGTGGGAGAAACACGGTCGTAACTGCACGCAACTTTCTTTTAAATCGTTTTTTATTTCGTATTATTTTCCAATGAAATATTCCAGTTTACTAACACCATTTTACTAATGCAATGTCGTTGAAAAGAAACGCGTGCAACATGGTCATATTACGACCAACCCTCCGAGTGTTGATTCAGATGTAGGCACAGTAAATATGTAGTGGCTGACATCGACGTAGATATTTGGTGATTGCATTCGGTGAACTTACGTTCGCTTACAAAAAAAATCGAATGAAGTTGATTGCATAGTTACAGATTGAGGTATGAAAGCAGTCATAAAAATATACTTGCTAATGACGAAGAAAACTTAAAATTGATATCGCATAGTCATAAACAGAGAACGTTTCAATTGAAAAACCAATTGTACAGTGGGACAGAGGCGCATCTCTCGTTGAGCATTTGCATAACAATGGGAGCCATGCCAATGGTCGCCCCAGCAAGACTCAAAATGCCAGATGTTTTCTTCCAGTTTCACGCTGGCATTCGTAATTATTTGTTATCTGACACGCTTAAATGACAGAGGCGGCGGCACGTAATTTGGCATGAGGGGGGGGGGGAGATCTGCTCGCCAACCTTGCCGTTGGCTCGACCCTACTAGGGGGTCCAGGGCATACGAGCATTTGACTGATATTAATTATTCATGATGCTTTGATTATTCATGTGTGGGTGTGTGAAAGTAAACGTGATCTTTTAAAGTTTGATTCGATTCGAACACAGATATGTACACTTTAACTTTTTTAAGTGCAACGGCGATACTTTCATCCATGTTTACTGAAAACAAGTCGATTTAAATGTCCAATGTATATAAGTAGTCTTTCAAAATCGACGGGACTTCAGAAGTGAAAAGTCACGTACATTAACATAGATAAGAAATGACGTATACAGCTGCACTTCGATTCGTTGCCAATGCTAGTCAACGTCTTTTAATTAGCATAATCACCGAAGTAATTCCGCTCCGGTTTTCACTCCAACGCAGGGGGTAGCCTGCAGATGCGTCCAGTCGGGATTTCTTTCGCAGTCACGCTAGTTTTCGCGATCACGTTAAAAAGGCTAAATTGACAATTATTTATATTTTTTTGTAAAACAAAAAAGAAGTCCCTACTTTGCAAGTCTAATCGTCCGCCTGCACGGTGTTGTTACGTTCGTACATTCCTCCCTCCACACCCATGTGCGGCAACAGCATTCGTAACCGTGTATGTCACGTTGTTGCACGATAGAAAGTTTACCGACCAAGGCTTTGTTACAAATGACTGCCAAAGAGCATTTATATATATATGTTGCAGTGACATCTTAAGTTCTGAGATATAACACCTGCTCTTCCATAATACCCAGTGGTGACAACACTGTTACCACACTCGATGGTCGCAAGGCCCCGTAAAGCATAATAACATAATGATTTACCACTTCCAGTGCGACTAACAACTGGAACACATCAGACCCGGAATTAAGTATAGCTTGAATAGCTTTGGTCTGAATACATGTGAGTTGCATGATGTCTCGATATCGTCGCTGTATTGCCTCGACATTCAAGCCAACACAGCTTCCATTGTGCACATTTGATTGGGTGTTGATAAACCGATTCTAATCTGTGATGGCACTGTCACACACACATAGTCCTTATGAAATATTTCAAGATGATAGTTGAGTGCTTTGCCGGAACATTCACCTTGAAAATTCAAAATGATCGAGTACGACTCATTTAGACCGCCGTCAAATCGACTGCGTCCTAGACATTTAAACTCACACTTAATGACAATAATGACGGTGCGAAATACATCTGGGTGTTTTAAGACAATGCTTTGTCATGGGAAAAATGGTGAAGGTGCCAAGTAAGAGACACACTTTATTCAAAACCCCTTCTCGCTACCTTAACATAATTGTTTTGAGAGAAATAACAATGTATGACTATTATTAACAACACTGTCATGTAAGTTAATTTTATTTATTATTCAGCACTTGAACAAGATGATTCGCTGATGCAGCATAGTGATAGTGATAGTGCCATAATTCAAGAACAACATGATCATCGTGAAGTACCATATATCCATTCACCAGATTGTATCACGAAAGTGACAAATGAAGCTGAGACTCCAGCGCATTCTTTGAGTACAGTATTGCTACATTCCAAATCGGAATTAGATGTTGGTAAGCAGAAACAAGATGTATCTAAACCAGTTACAGGGGAGCACATCTCAACTGACACGAAAAACAAAGAAACCGAAGCACAAGACACTAAGCAGAAAGAGATGAAACCTTTGGATTACAGGTCTCCAGACAAATACAAGGGACCCGCAACTAATATCCCATCTGATGTTCGAGTGAGAATTATTTCACAGGACATGGTGGAAGACGCTTTCAACAATCCAAGAAGTACTGATGACCAGCAAGAAGAACTAAGTATCCAAGTGAATGAAGGATATGTAGACAAGACCAGCCTATCAATGTCCAGTGATGATATCGAAGTATTGGAACCTTTCTCTGGAACACAGGAACGAGACAATACTCCATTATCAGAAACGCATCAAACTATTCAAAACATACCCCAAACCGAATTCACTGCCTTAGCAGTGAGTGGTCAGTGTACTCTCATTCAACCGGAAAAATCTGAAGGTTCTACAACAATTATGAACATTTTTCCACATGATACAACTCCTGAAACACCAACACTTAGCTCTGCAGATGTACAAAATATGGATGTAACAATGACAGCCCAAGCGCAAGGCGATCCACCACCAACTCGCTTTTATATGGATCCTAATTTATCAATAGCCATGGTAGATGAAACTGCAAGTAGTCATCAAGTATTGTCACTTTCAGAAGTACAACAACCTGAATTACAATCTGTCATTTACGATGACGATAATACGCCAAATGACGAGATAGTCAAGAATCATGGAATCCATGTCTCTGCAAACTATTTACATGAGGATGAACTACAATTGGATGACAATGGTTTTGAATTCCTTGATATATACACTGCCCCAGATGATCCTAACTTAGCTCCAAGTAACAATGAATCTAAACTGAAGATTGGCTGTATGAAACATGATCAGCTTTGTCCACATATCGAAAGGCATTTGACAGAGGGTGTACAGGAAGTTACATCTTTAATTGAATGTACACCAGATAGAAACAAACAAACCAAAGTCTTCGAAACAACTGCAGAAAATGACACCTTCACCAGAGATATGACAGGAGTGGATCAAACCGACAAAAAGCTTGGTTCCCATACAGTACCACATTTTATAGATGGACTAAAGACAGACAAACAACATGAAGTTTTAATACCCAAAGAAAGAGACATCTCTGAAGATATTAAGGAAGTACAAGAACACAAAATTGATGACGACGGAACTGGGAATGGAAAGCTGGTTTCTCATACAGTATCACATTTGATAGAGAAAGAACAAACCAAACTAGACAGTGACAAACAACATGAAATTTTACCAACTGCTATAAAAAACACTATCTCAGGAGATATGAAGGAAGTACAAGGACACAAAATCGATGACAGCAAAACTGGGGACAAAAAACGAGGTTCTCACACAGTATCGCATTTGATAGAGAAAGAACAAACCAAACTAGACAGTGACAAACATGAAATTTTACCAACTGCTATAAGAAACACTATTTCAGGAGATATGAAGGAAGTACAAGGACACAAAATCGATGACATATCACATTTGATAGAGGGTGAACAAACTAAACTAGACAGTGATATGATCTCTGTACACATAGAAGATAAAAGAGAACCAGAAACCAGTGGCATCAGAAATGGTGACAGTAAGCTGCATTCTCAAATCAAATCTCATTTGACAAAGGATGAACAAGCAACAAGTTCTGCCGCATTGACTGTACATCCTTGCCATTCCACGAGTAAGGCAGACCCAGACAAACACGGACAACATGAAATCCAGACAGCTAAAGAAAAAGAAACCATCTCTGTAGACATAATAAACTCGCCATCACAAGATCAATTGCAAAATAAGTCTGATGACACAAATGTCAACAACTCACGAACACCAACGCTCATGGAACCAGCAGCTGATGATGCACACAATTCAAAAAATAAATACTGTGATGATCAATTACAAAGTCAACACGCGTATGTTGGTGAGTCAAGAACAAAGAATACAGAATCTCAGAGATCAATTGCAAGTGAAATTTACAAGGTAAAAATAAGTTATGTTGTCATTCTAGCTGAACTATTGTAGTAATTAGTTGACTCACAACGTAACAAAACTTACTTGATATTTTTCACTGTATACCAAATATGGGTTTAAAGTGCAACAAGAATATATAATATATATAGAATATTTTATTGAAAACATTTCTCGTTTAAATTGATAGATACCAGAGGTGTACTTTATTGAATCAACACTTCACCTAGGCATCGGAACGTCGTGAGTACAAACCGCTTCTTTAATTCAATGAAGACGTTCTTGGAAATTACATGCACATATACAAACATATAAACAGGAACAGAAGATTCAAACTCACAACTCAGCAAACGTACTTTGCCACTGTAAGCAGATGTGCCTATTCACAGATGAATTGAACACAACAACAGAGCTGAATATAATCAACACAACAAGTGATTAATTAATATACAGATATGTTCTAATCTGACGTAATAATATATATAACAGCATATTTTAACTTGACCTTCTATATTTGAATTCTCAGCGGATCAAGTCAAATCCCAGTCCAGGCAAATATGATGCGAATATATTTCTATGCATGGCTTTCCCCAAAGTTCAAAGTGGACCTGCTGCGTCAGATGTTAGTTGTACGCGGTGATATATGTGAACTAGGTTGTTGGAGACCTCCTGGTATCAAGATGAACCCCACAAGGCAAGTGGTAATATGTGGACACTCATTCATTGTTATATAACTCTCCTATATTAGGGTTGCAGTGCAGTGTTTAGCCACATTACTCAATCAGTAATAAAATTGACACTATATTATCAAATACTAAACTACTTGTGTGAAATGCTTCCTTGTGAAAAACATTGCTCATATGATTCAACAGAACAATTTGCCTGTTATTTCTACATAATAAACAACATTGATATGGCGTTAATAGCATAGTCAAAACAGCTTTAATTATTTAATAGTCATTACACGGAATTTACAAATAATATGATAATAAAGTACACCACAGTTCAATAAATAAGCTACATGACAAGCACACTACAGTACATAGTCAAATCATTTAAAGAAAGTTAGATGTTATGCAAGTCATATAAACATATTCTGTCGGTAAAAAACACAAGGCAGACAGTTTAGCATGTTTAACCACTATCATTATATCTGCCAAAACGCATATTTTGAATATTAAAGTTATTATTTCAATAGAATATTGCATTAGTTCGGGCGAAAGAAAGCACTGTCTTCTTAAAAACTATAGGTACTATTGCAGTTGAGGTGTAGAAAATTGACTATTGTGAAATTGTTCATCTCTGTTGTTATACAATCTGGTAGAAAACAGACCATTTAAGCCAAAACCAAGGAACATACATATATTAGTATGTAGCATGAGTCACCTTAATTTCATGATCATCTTGATATCATTAGACCGTGAATTTAAAACTCTTGATGGCCAGTTAGTTATCAATAAAGATTTTACTTTTCAGCTTTATATAAATAGAGAAATAAAATAACGAGCAAGGTAGTACAATTTATTTCCATTAGAGTCAACATAAAATATCTTTAATTCAAATTAAGTCCAATGTCACATTATTTTTGTGTTAATGCTGCATAGAAATAACATCATACACATATACTCTTCACATGTCACGTCACGTCATTTGTTGATTCGAACATAAACTTTTTTAAATAGAACTGTCGTGAATGACATAAGACTCTATGAAGGGGTACTCGACGTTTTATTGACATCAATTGGTAGACGGAGAAAAATCGAGTACAAGTACTGTGTCATCAGTGAAGAAGACACAGTATATGAATGTATTGGCAGAAACCCAACCACCAACCGAACCATGCATATTGAAGAGAGTTTCTGCATCGAAGGAGGTAATAATTATATCTAGTGTGTATGTTTTAAGTGGCACATATTATTTTTCTAGTGGAAGTACGATATTATCAAAACATTTGAAAAAAGTTTATATTCAACGGATAAAGAATATATTCAAAACACCTGTAACGACTACACTTTTATACTGCATTTTTAAATCTCGAAAGACCATATAGTATATATAGTGCAATATATGAACGGATTACTGTCAACATTGAGAAAGGGTAAACCTGTTTATGGATTAAATATAAATTGAATGATTTAGTGCAATAATTTTAATGAAAAATATCTTCTCTCTATTCTCACGAGGACTTTATCCATGATAGCCGATTGTTATTGAACTGTTTTGCTATGTCCATGTTGATGTCCCTGGCATATAAACAATGCTGTTTAAAATAAGTAAAATAAGTAGAAATAATTGTGAAACATAGCGATTGCTTTCATGCTTAGCCTATGCAAGTATAATTTGGAAATATATTTCACGGAACTATACAATGTAAAAAACACTAAATCCGAAATAGGGACAATTAAATTTACAATGGGCTGCTAATTTGGAACATGCCACAATAGAAATTTGGCAATACAAAATCCATAGCAATCATTTTACCATTTTTGTTCACTTCCAATTGGTTGAAAAATAGAGCTGCTAATTATGCATTAATTGGATACTTACAGGCACGTGGAAAAGGTACGACAACATAATATACCCTCCTGAGAACTACAGATACTTGAAAAAACTTATTGGTTATCAACGAGGACAGGACCTCACTGATAATATTATCATCACAGAGAAAATGATGCCTATCTGGGAAGGATTCCGTAAAGACTCGTCGGCAACTAAGGGTCTCGCTACTGATGCTATATTACAAATATGCCAAATATTTCTGTCAGTTGATGACAATTGGAAGCCGCCACACTGGAGTTCTGAAAAGGTGCAATATGTTTGTTTTAATTTGAATTATGGTTAAGATATATGTTGGGAAAATGTTCTCCTCGTTGTGGTTGATGTTGTGAACTCCGCCATAAATCTTTTTTTTGTGGTTACAATAACTCAAACAGTTTTTGTCCAATTTCCTGCGAACTTCGACATTATATTAAACAGTTTGCGATCTCAAGCACTCAGTAACTCAAGCACCATCTTCAAATATGGGAATATTATCAGTCAACATGCAAATGGTGTAATTAGCCAGCGCAATTTTTAAGACAGGGAATAAAATGTGGCTAGAACAAAACATGTGATAAACGTTGAAATATGTAGATAGAACAAATACATTTATACTGATGATACTGAGTACCGGATGTTAGTGTTATGGCTACACCAATAATAAAAAGTCTACTTCATATAATGAGGAAACCCCATCACGTAATGGAGATACCAAACATATAATAGAATACCCCACCATATAGTGGAGAGACCACATTATGAAGTGTCCCGATCATATAATGACAATACATGTAATGACGCTGTTAATTTTTTCCAGGTGTTGTATGACTATTTGTCACCTGCATTGCAATACTTCCAAAGAAACCACAATGAATCCACCGAACTGAGCAAATTACGTCTCGTTACAGCTTTGGCAATAGCACGTATCAGCCATCGTTACAAATTATTTGATATGCTTAGGAAAAGTGATCTCATTGCTCTATTTAAAGCACTTCTCATAAAACCAGACCTCGAACAAAGATTATGCCATGACCTGCAAACTGTTAACCAACATTTCCCTCAACCAAGTGAGAGAAGGTAATATATACAATATGCGCAATGTTGCATGAACTGTGTGCTTGATCGTTTGTTTTAATTGTGGCTGCTGTGGTCGTTGTCAGTCGTTTGATTGGTTAATTGGTTGGTCGGGGTATTGGTGTAATACAAGGATCTCTCTCATTCGGCAAACATAATGTGCTAATATGTAGATGAAATGGGATTTTGAAAATTTACCGTGAGAGAACGTGTGGGTTGTGAGCTGAACATCGTTTTTATATTAAAGGGCTGAACATATTATTTATTTAAAAGCACACTTGTAATTATTACATTTCTCTAATTCGTGTTTTCTAGGGATCTGGTTAGCGATCTTATCTATGTATGTACAAGTAACTTCAGCAGCAAAGATCCAACTCCAGCTTTTCTGTTATGCATACCACTGTTACATTTTATTAATGGCACCTCCAAACCATTTGACCCTGATTATGTATATCGTCCTGTATTGAACAAATGGCAATTAGAAAATTTCAAGAAGTCAGTCAAGTAAGTACACTTTGTTTAATGTATTATGTATGGTGGACATTGTAAGCATTGTGTAGATTGGTTTGGACGAAGGTTACTTACCCGAAACCACTTGTGCTCTCGCCCTTTTGCATACATGTGTTTTGCCCCTGACTCGTCGAGTCCATTAATGTTAACCGTTAACGTAATGCATTATTATTCCCTTAGTAGTCGAAAAAAATACACCTAACACAAGTGAAGGAGTGCGCACGACACAGCATGTAATGATGTTGTTTTGTTTACACACAAGCTATTTTTTGTATTCACAGAACCTAAATATCACCAACATTAGTTATTTTTAAATTATTATTATTAAAAAAAAATAATCAGTATTTTCTGTTTATAAGACAGCAGAGTATAGAACAGTTATTTACTGGCGTGTGTGTTATTTATGATATCATTACGGAAATTCATTTAAATAACTTTGTAATTCAGATACAACATGGGACCATGGTTACAGCGTGTTTCGCCACTGTTTGTTGTTGATGCTCAGCTCGCATGGACATTTGTATTTTCGGTACCATTGGACCAGATTCCAGAAATGGTTGAAAGTGGTAGTTTGCCCATGGACATTTCCTGTAATCTGCTGCTGAGAATTCTAGGAGATAGGCGCCATATCGTGAGTGTACCCAAAAAGGTAAGTTTATTAGGTTTACAATTACATTTTTCAACTGATAAATTTCAACTCAACTAGTGTAGCTAAGTTGCATAATTTGTGTTCAGTATGTATTGTACATATCATATTGAGGCTTTGCTCATTCGAGTTACGCCACATACAGCTTACTGTGTGTAGTAATATACCAAATGTATTTCTATAGGACCAACCTTACTTACCAGAAGTTATGAGAGTTTCAACAATAAGAATACGACAATTAATCCGACAATTATTGGATAAAGTCCCTGATAGGTGAGTTAATTTACTGTATTGACATCCATCTTGCAATAGAACACAATGATATTACAACGTTTTGTATCATTGTGTTTAATTATTAATAAGAATAATGTATTCAAATAATTTATCATAACAATATTTCAATGATAACGGATTTAATCTAATCTGCTCTTTACCGGGGTTTCTGTGAATGTAAAATAAATCACGAGTAACATAACAGTCACAGGGATTTTGAATAACTTGTTTTCACGAAAATTGTGTTAAATCTTTAGAAAGGTCTAATTTAACACAAATCGCTATTACTTTTATGTTTATATATATTGCATCTACAAAACCCTAACAAATTGGAAAGATCTAACAAGTACTACTCATTTGATTTTTGAATTTGTTGTCAGAAATAAAACAAAGATATACACTAATTTGCATATCAATAGACTAAACTGTAGATGATCAATAAGATTCTAAAGACTATTTCATGTTCAAAATTAGACATCACAACAATACGGGTTGTTCGACCAGTGTTTTAAGCATGTTCCATTTATGATAAAATTCTGTAATTATCATATGATAATTAGTTATACATAAAGATTCTAAAAAATATATAAAAAGCTCATTTTGAATAAAACTCCGCTACTCCTGTAAAATTCTGTAGTTTGCATCATATTCGGCAAATTATTTTAGAAACTTCCAAACGTTAAAAAACACTTAGATAAATGTGTGACACACAGAACACGTATTGACCAAAGTATATGTGATGCAGCCTAGCTCGCTCAGTGAGTGCGTCGTTTATCATTCATCATTATTCTTACATTCTTATCCATAATTGAAAGATGAACAGAACAGTATTTCATGTAAAATAAATAATGATGTATTTATTTATACTCATATTTACCTCTCAACTAACCATACATTTTGAGGTACAACAACTAGTAAGTGACAGTGCACAGTGAGGTGATTGAACGTAATTTACCTACCTATTGTTTCCTTGGTGGTTCGGGGAAAGGACTACTGGATCCACTGAAATATATAAAAATAATGACTAGTGACACAGGATAGAACAAACCCCTTGGTATATATTAAGTGCAAAAATCTGTAGTTTTGAAATTGAGTCCACAAAAGTGATGGCATTCTCACAGTTGGAGTCACCCATACAAACTTATTTCAAATCCTGAAAATAAATTGCTGTATATAGCTTTACAGATTATTGCACATATAAATGAACTAATCCATATATTCTAATAATGTGTCTGATGATTTGTTTAGGCAAACATCAGATAGTATTGATGAAATTCATCGAATGCTGTTAACAACTTGTCAACTTGTACAAACAGTCGCTGCTAAAACAAGTGACGTGTGTCAATATGAACACATACTTGATGCCTGTGATCTGTTCAGTGCATGCTATGGCTTTGTCGCTGCACACTTGCGAGCTGGTACCAGCCCGACCAAATACCGTCATATGAATAACGATATGCATTTACGGTATGAGCAAACAAAGAAGGCACTCATAGACTGGATCAATAAACACCTACCAGTCGAGTTCATCCGCCGATCAAATACTACAACGAAAACAGAATTTTCAGAGGAATTACAGGTATGTGTAAAATGTGTGTGTACGTGAATTGCCGAGTGCTTGTACTGTAATTGTTTAGAACAAGGGTAACGAAGCACCACTTCAAAAATAATGCCAAATAATTTATCATGATATACAGGGTAAGATTAAAAGTTACTCTAAGTATGTACGTTCTTTCAGTGCACTAAATGTTGTCAGGGACAGCATATAATAGAAAATTTTGCGGTGTTCAAATGAAATTGTCAGTCACGTGATTGGTGTTATTTCATGTTTACACTTTGTGACAGGCCCTACTTTTTCACGATTGTCTTGATACACAATAGCTGTCTAGTGTAAATAAACGTAATTCATTCAGGACGAAACGTATTAAAATATTTATGTTAAAATATTTCAATATTTCCATAACAGTATGTACTTCCATGTAATTTAAGCATGTGTGTCGATGTCGGCACGTTCTTGAAAAGCTACTCATTGTTCTCGTTGTAGACGACAACAATGGAGGCCGAGAAGTATTGATGTTTTGATTCTTCTGAAAAAAACAGTAGCAACACAAAATACGCGATATTCTCTTGCTGGCGGCAAATAACCTTTAATTATTCACAAGTTAAGATTGATTGAGTTATATACAGAAACCGTGATAAACCCATAATTTACAAATCTATTTTAGATTTGGCATCGATTGTTGTCAGTGACGTTTCATTACGAATCAACGGACACAAATTGGTATCAAGAATTGTGTCCGATTCTGAAGAGAAGATTCAATAATGTAGGTTATACACAATATATATCAATATCAATTTGTTATAAACGTGTAACCCATACATCAATACGAAATTATCAATGAGAATAATCTTTATTTCATAACCACGATATATAATACTCCAATAGATACAAAGTCTGCAAAAGATACGATTTATTTGCTATGAAGATCTGGTAAATTACAACGTTCATATACAGAAGATTTTCAGTGAGATTGCATTCAAAGCAGTGGATGAGATATGCAAAGTAAGCATATACGAACTTATTTGATATAATTGATGGAGCATATTGAGTTGTTGTCTTCCACATTTTTCATATTTTATAACCTATGTTTAACTGAGCCAATTGACCTTTATGGTACAGAATATTTTCAGAATAATTTGACATGGAGTTTGTTCTTCCCAAATGTTAATAGTAAACAATTTGTTATTAGATATAACATACAACGTAACAAGTATGCAGGTATTATAGATAGGCTAGCAGTGCTTTAAGTATATGAATGATTGTATACAATTCTTATTGTAGCGTGAGAAAGACCCTGATAAATTGCTCGGTTCTGTATATGAACGTGTTCCAGTCACAAAGGACCACGGAAAGCTGTTATCATTCTTACTGCACAAATCGTGGCCAAAATCAACGGATCCACATATAATTTTACAACACATATTGACTTGGGAACCGTTTGTTGGATTTTTCCGCATGACAGGTAAATCGAAAACATTTAAAGACGTTTCAATAATAAAAATATCATTGTAGTAATTATTTAGGTTTATGAATCAAAACTATGATGAGATACCAACCTTTTAGGTTGCATACGACGGCAAAAATAAGTCTTTTCTATGTTTTATGTTTGTTTAAGATAAAGGACAAGGGCACGGAGACATTCTTTCTGAAGAGTGTCAGGGCTATATAGCCATAGCGAAGTCATCATTGGAATCAATAAGTAAACAGTTATTGAATGGGAAGATCAAAATCAACAATCTGCGGCTAATAATACAAAATGAAGCTCAATTTCTCAACTTAATCAAGACGAACGAAAGTTATGATGTCAAACAAGTTATTGATTATCGGGAACATGAACTTGATATCCTTGCCTGTGAACGGAAATATGTCGATTGCCTGGTAAATTCGTGTCTTTTTATTACGCTAGGTATGTACAATGTTTGTGTATTACAAACACATGAAGTGTGTCTGAGCAAATTTGGGTTGAATGTCTGCTGGAAGATGGTGTAATGTTCCATTTTTATAGTCGCATGTGTTTTCTTTGCAGAGCCATTCACTGATTTTACAACATCACGATCAACCTATTTCGAATAAAACCATGTTCGAACAACACCGTATACCCTAGAATGCAACATAATTTTATAGTACTTCTTTTCCAGGATATTCATATAGTAAATTATTAACGCAGAAATGTGTAAATAAAGCACGGACCACTTGTCACTGCACGCGATGCCGTATATATATTTACTGTTTTGATGCGTTGTAAATGTTTTTCTTATTTAGAAAACATTTTCCCTTGCAGGCTTATACCACTAATTACAATTCCACCCAAAATGTTTAAATTTGATTAAACCACATGTATGTAATTTAATTCTTGCCAGAAACACACGTTTCCAGCTCGAACAAAACACACAAATATGTCGGCCTTTCCTGCCAGTTTCAACAGCTAGTTTTGTAGCGTCTGATTGACAATGACCAAGATCCGCTAGTCACCGAAGCTAACAGCTGGCATAATTAAAGTACGCATTCACACCGCGATTTGAGACCTGCCACATGCGATTCGCTGGTTCCCTGCGTCCTTTGCGAATGGCAAGTAATCGCCACATTGTCCCACTAGGCCGGTATTCTGGCACAAAATCACGTGACTAAGTGATGTTTTTTGAGAACATTCTAACATTTTCTGTAAACAAGTCTTTATTACGCTATGCCCGTACATACTGCAAATTTAGACTTACATATTTGAGATGTTTCTGGGCACATTTATAACAAAGGTAACAGTTTTTTATCCACCAAACTTTCGAGAGTAAAACTTTTCACCGACGTCAGGTAACCAAGGGAAATAGAACAAGCAACGAGAAAGTGACGGGCCAATTAGAATGCCGGAACCGTTACTAGTTACCGGCCTCTTGTGGATTGGTGTGCCATGACACTTGAGGCGGGAACCAGCCAACCACATGCGACAGAAATTGTAACCTCGTCACTAATCACGTTACTGAGCGCAGACAATCTCGGAAGCGCATTGTACAGTAGTATCAAAGTGCCACCCAAAAAATTAAATTCTTCCATATTTGAAATCGAAATTCTCTGGTTTGTTTTTTTGTAGTTGACATCGACGTCCTACATAGTAAGTTGAAAATTGATTTAGAGAGTATGCCGTTGACATCAGTTTGTCTTCCTTTGACGAGTTTTACAAGCTGCAGAGAACCAATTATCACATTCTTTGAGTTACCACCAAATGTGAAGACTATTTTGGAGCCTCTCTATCACGTCCACACCAGTCGTTTATTCCACCAAAGATGGGAACAAAGAGTCCTCGCTTTAAAACAAATTGTCGTTGATGGCAAATCACCGGTACTCAAACTTGAAGACTTAATTGAACAAGTATGGCAGCCAGTTTGCGATTCGATTGTTGCAATGATACATGAACTAGAAAACGGTAAAATAACACTAAAAGAAGTGGACACTACATTTGGAGAAACTCTGAACCATGCCTTGGAGTTGGAGACTGAAGCAAGAACCCTCTACACCTTAATAGCTCGAGGACCACTACCCGACACTCTTCAAATACGACTAAATCAACTGAAACAGTATGGTGTCATTCGACAACGGTTGAAGGCTGCCAACGCTATTTTGCATGTCCGAGAAACACTACAACTTAAAGGAGACTTTAGCACACTGGATGGCATAGCTTCAATGGTATGTTATTTATTTATATTTTATAAATATTTTATTTATTTATTTATTCAGTCTTATTTCAACACGTATTGATGATTTATTCTCATTTTTGCAGACAACCAAAAACCAAACCCTTGACTCAATAACATCTGAGGTGATCTCCGGAGCTGATAGATTAGATTTCCTAACTTCTGACGAAATCACGTGCTTAAATGTTTTAGCCGAATGCCACGTATTTGTTAAGTGGCTGAAGAAAGAAGTGACGGGTAAGTCAGTCTGTGTTTTCATTTCGTTTTAATATGAGCAGAAAATGAACTCTTTGTAACATTTCCTCTACACTTTGCAGATGTCCAACAATTACAAGTGTTTATAGATTTAGCGATGATATCAGCTGGAGAGACGGATGATGAAGTAGATCGCGTTAAATGTCTCCATCAGGCTGCCACTGGATATTCATCACTGATCTTTGATTTGAAAGAAAATGCATCGCTTGAAGATTTGTTAAGCACGTGTGTGGTACTAAGAAATAACCTGAAGAATGACAGAATGCTGGCAAAAAAAATGGTAATACTGTCACTATATGCTGCAATATACAATATTGCCGGACCTGATTAACCCACGTACTAATTTGTTATTATTTGCTTTAAAACATTCAGAAAGACATCAACCGGCATCTGGAGTGGTTAAAGAGAGTGAAAGAAACGCATGGATCGGTTGAAAGGTCATCCTGGCTTGAGGCAGAGGCTATCAACAAAAATGGTGTTTATAGTATTGGGAACATTGGTAACAATACATGCAAGGTATTTCGTTGGTTTTTCACATCACTTCTTGAATGTATAGCATTAGGATAAAATATACATTTCTCATTGGATAACCAATGACAACCAATTGGAATTTGTTAATCAGGCAATGTCCTTGTCTAGTGTGGTTTTGTGTCTTGTCGATCCAAATAATAATTGTTTACAATTCTTATATTATTCAAATACATGAATTTCTATCACAGGACAATTTACGTGATGTTATTTGCCTGTCTGTTCCTGCGATCTTGAGCTCCAATGATGTTGAGACTGATACTGATGTACAAGAAAAACGTGAATATGATCTTGACAAACTAAATGACCTGCAAAGTAAACTTATGCTTGTTGCTGGCAAAGGCGAACAGAGCAGAGGGCAAATCGACCGGTTTACACAAGTGAGTAGTCACTCAAGTATATTGCTTAATATGAGATATACAAGGATTTTGAAACAAAGAGCTGAATTTCTACCTTGTGATTTATGGGGTCGAACATGCTTTCAGATGGACAAAATGGCTGACTTGAGCCGAACAGGCCTGTCTGAACACAAGTAAAATCTACCACTAAATGTGCTTCATTTCCGCAAATAATTCTTTTATTTGCTACCCAATTCCATAGCTTGTCATTTAGGATATTGCACGTTAAATCCTCGCATAACTTAAATTTTTTGATGTCTATTTTACTAACAATGTTTACATAGAATATAATATGCAATTGTTATATAACATTGTCTAATTAAGAATATATTAAATTTTCCAGATATTTGCGGCAATCAAAAGAGTGGCCAAAACATATCTCAACCTTCACAAGACAGGGAATTCCTTATTTGAGGGATTGCTAATTACAGTAAATTGCAACCCCGAAACAAAGGTTTCGGTTATGGTTGATTTTGGAGGTGATCATCAAATACTCCAAGGGAGAGATGCTGTCATAATACAGCTAGGAAAGTTATCAGCTTTTATCGAGGAATGCCTAAACGTGTGGCTACACTACATCGAAGAAAAGAGAGATAAGATATACCATCTCAATTATTTCACAACCGAACAGCTGGTCGTTTTAATGAACGAGTTAAGAAATTTCATATACGAGGACAGCAGATACCAAATCCCTCTTATTGTGTTTTCTATTCTCTCGAGTGTGAAGTTCCACTGCAATCAAAACGACATATATCAAGCAATCCACCAAGTCCGTTCACGACAGCAAGAATCGAGTCAAGATTTGGTGGTACATGAAATAAAAGACGATGCTCAATTTGATGATCATGCAGATTTAGACTCCCGAGAAAACGTTATGATGAATAAGGTGCAATTAATTATGAAAGAAGGCTGTTCTGAAGAGACGGCCAAAGCAGCCATTAAAATCCTAGGACTAAGTGTCCAGGTCGGGGAAGCAGTGTCGTGGTGTATCGAATGTATAGAAAGTGACGAACATATTTCTAATCTGGCCAGACAATTTGACGAGGACATGATGTTGGTTAAACAAACAGACCAAGAAGTGCGAATGCCAATGGGTTTAAATGTACAAGCTCCAACTGATATCATTGAAGTAGGGAGCGCACAAGTCAGACAACATTCGTCGGAATCCCCAAATGATGATAGTGATTACTCAGCAATCACACTCGAAAGTGAAAGTGAAGTCACGAAAATCAGAATAGTAATAAAGGCTGTTAAAGATGCTGGATTTAGTGAAAAAATGGCAAAGGCAGGCATGGTTGAGTGCGGATTAGATGAAGAAGAGATTATTGGTTGGTGTTATGATAACTTTGAAGATGATGACGTGATTGACAGGTTGTCAAGACAGTGGGATGAGCGAATGGAGGAAGAAGAAGCAGTACTTGATAACACACTGGATGACAACGGTATGGACATAGACAGCAGGCCAAAAACAACTCCAGTGTCTAAGAAGGAATTGGTTGAAGCGAAAGAGTATGTATTTATTATTAATCACAATGATTTAGATTTCTATTCTAATTTATGTTATTTAGTTGTTCTCAACTTATTGTTTTGTAGTGATCTGATCAACGAATTACAACTCATCTGGCACCATCATCGAAATACTCTGGAATCAGACGATGCAGACTTTGGCATTGATCACTTGGGGAATGTACTAACTGCGCTTGCACATACAGGTGAAAATTGACAATATATGTTTACACAAACACTTGTACATTCATTCATTGATGTAGAAAATATAATATTCAACCATTAAATTTTGAAAGTTAAAAAATAATGCACAACTCCAAAATTTAGAATTCGTTTTGATTGTGGGAGTTGGATCGTATACTACTGATGAATATATACAATTATTTGTCCATTGTAGATCCAGTAGCAATAAATAGACCCTGGAAACTATCAGATGAATATGGTAGACCTCATCTTTTAATCAAGCCTCAAGGTATATTCTAATACTGAATTCGAAATAACTAATATTTTAGGTCTGTTGTTCTTCACAATATTAAATCTTCTAATTTTGTTCCCCACAGACGAAATGTTGAGCACAGCACTAAACATATACTTGAACAGCGATAATATTCAATTGCCGTCACATGATGAAGTGTTATTATGTACTCCACAAACAACATTAGAACAAGTAAGTCTTCTGTTAATTATATTACATATATAATACATCTGAACACAAACGTTTTTATATTTTACCAGTTGAATATTGCCAACCAGGTGTGGCACTGACAATAATGACATTCAGACCTGTGCCTGTTTCAAAACACTGAATATGACTTCTTTATTTTGAACACAATCACATGAATATGTTTTCAGTACATTGCAAAGGTTAGAAATCCGATGGAAGACCGGTAAAATTAAGAACATATTAAAATATCCCCTCTGTATACCATTATAGGTGGTGTTGTTTTATCGTCGAGCTATGTTTGACACAAATGGAAAGATTTACTGTTTAATGAACGCAGACTTGTTAGATTATGATGTCAGTACAAAAGCGGAGGAAAAACGAAATGATCTAGGCAGGAAAGGTATATTTATTTATTTGTTTATTTATTTATATTTCCTGTCATATTATTGATGGTGTACATGGAGTAATGATAAATCTCAACTAAATATAGCTGTTTCAGAGTATCGCCTTATCGTGATCTGTAGTCAGGAAAGAGAAGATAGAACTCACATAGTTACTGCCTTGGATTCGTATCGTAGTGACCCTCCTGATTGGCCTCTAGTAACGGGCATGAAGACATTCCTCTGGGACTATTTTAGAAATGACTATTTAAGGCCGGGTATGGTACATTCTGCCGCTGAGGTTGCGAATGATGGGTAAATATATGCTAGTTTGTTTGTTGATTCACCCACTGAATAGGTTTTGCATTCATTCATTAAATTAATTTATCTTTTCCACCCTAATAGGTGCTGTGTTCAAGTGGTCATGTCAAATACACCTGGTACAGGAAAGTCATTAGTTGTTGAGAGGCTAACCAAGAAACTTGGCGAGATGATTAAGAATGTATCTAACTGTATCACAGTTTCATTATCTGAAAGAAAAGTGGATATAGATTCAATTGTTGACTACCTCATCCCCTACACATCACACCCCGATACCCCAGTCCCAAGAATCTTCCATTTTGACATAGCTCCACTGGTAAGTTTTATAGGAAGTAATTATTTAATACAAATTTCTTTCCAGTTTATTAATTTACAATTCAAATTGATATGTGTATTTGTAGGTAAAAAGCGGTGTTAATGAGCTTCTATTCAATTTGATTGTACTTGGTGGACTCACTGATAAACATGGCCGGGTTTGGAGACGACACCCCTTTGACCTTTATGTTATAGAGATTTTACACTCTGAGAGCAACAGGAAAACCATTGTAGACATTGACAACAAGGTAATTATATCACACAAATATTGATCCAAGGTGCCATTGATATGCAGATTTCGCTCAAGACAACAATGATCTCTTTTAACGACAAATCTGTATAGACTGGGGTGAACATTTGTATTATTATAGTGAACAAAATACATAATAGAAATAGAGGCTACATTGCAATGAAAGATTTCCATCGCCACTGACATCTTGTTCCATTAGCCGTTCATCAGCTTTGTAATATTTTGTTAATTATATAGGATGCATTTACCAACCAACCTCTATACACAGTATTACCTACAATTGTGTGCAGATCACCAAAGGAAACATTACTGATGGAGAAACGGTTGGACGAAAATAAAAGCATTGGTACATTTTCCACTTTTTCTCATACATCGATTCAGTACACAGTGAAAAATAAATATTTCAGTCCATTAATTCTATCACATATATTGGTCTATATATCGAAACTGTTTTCTAATTTACAGAATCCTTCAATGTTCCACTAATGGATGATACAGAATTCAGAAGTGTAAAGACACAGCGTGTTTTCCAGTACCTTGCCAGACATACTATTGGGGTAGATCTGGATTATTTTGACTTTGTAAAGAAAAACGAGGCCGGCGATTCTTATGAGATTGAAGGCAATCATGTTAGTTGCTTGGAAACACTACTCAGGTAATTCACTTTACATGGTGACATTGAATTTACAGTATGTTACGGAGCGATTCGTTCATGTAGATTACGAGCTAATATTACCCATTCTGCCTATATTATTCGAATTACAGACATTGTGGGATCAATGACCCAACTTGGTCTGAGCTGAGGAACTTTGTGGTATTCCTCAACGAACAACTGAAAGACTGTGAAACTTCTTTGTTTTGTAATATAGAGTATCTAGATGATACACACTTGTACGGTTTCCGAAACTTTGTTGTTAGATTCATGATTCAAATGGCCAAGGTAAGTCGAATTAATTATACATATGCGTTGACCATGATGGGCGAATAAGCCGCGTTATTACGACTAGTTAACAATTATACTCTTGTGATAAACTATTGTGGATTACAGGACTTGTATAAATCATCAGCCCAATTGATTATTAGGTTTTTCGTCAGAGAATTACCCAGTCTGCAAATCAGTTGGTTACCTGTTGGATAATAAATCGATATATGCAGTTTTCATCTATTATGTATAATCATTGTCATGTATAAACTTTTTCTTTGATGGTCAGGGCGATGTGCGATGCCTTAGTCTCAATAAGTAACTAGCGATGTTATTGTTTTTCGTAGTCAGCATCTTGTCCGTCCCGAACCATTCCCAAGACATGAATGACTCATTTTAAACTAAACTCAAAGACTATGTATGATTGCTATTTGTTCAAATACGGCTAGCTTGCTGTCATTTTGGTCCTCAAATTTCCTAAATTAACATACTTAAATGTTTTTGTTTTTGCCCTATGCCGATTCTTTACTAAAATATCGCCTGATTCCGTTGACAGTCTGTGAACATGTACTATACTATTACATACGTTATTCCATATATCATGATATTTTTTGATTTGATCAAGTTATCATCATTTTGTTTGCAAGATTTGGAGAAAAAGTGTCCGAATTGCGTACAATTTGTTCTCATTTATGTCCACGCTGATTATAATTGATAGCCTTGCAATTTAAGCTGTTTTTGTGGTTTTAGATCGAACATGATGTTCCCATTTCCCCTAATTTGGTATTGGCTGCATGTGGATCCCCAATGTAAATGCATTGTGAGTGCAATATGAACGAAAGTTGCAAAAACAAATTTGCGCGTCGAATGAATATTTTGTTAGCATCGGATATAAGATATTGTATACCAACCAATCCATCCCAAGTTATTTAATTCACAGCTATCATATATCACTATTTGCGACATTTTCTGTAGGATTTTGCCACCCCCTCACTTCAGTGTTCAGACCAAAGTTCACTGACACTGGATAATGGTAACATTGACCACGAGCACATAACCTGTCAAGAGCTGCCATCTGATGTTAACGGGGACATGGACAATATTGGTGACGATCTCACCGAATATCAACTTAAACGAAAATGGGAGACAAGGTAAATATTACATTCTTAATTGTAACTAAATATATTTATTTATTAGTAAATAAAATATATATTTATTACATATCCATATACATTAATATGCACATGTATTTGAGTATAAGCTTATGTAATCAGACACATATGTTACACCTAACTATTGACTTGTATTATATATTACAGTGCTCATCCATATATCTTCTTCAACTACGATCATACAACTATGACTTTTATTGGATTTAACATTGATCGTTTTGGTAATTTGATTGATCCAGTCAATGATGCTGTGATTGAACGTGGTGTAATGAGTAACAGGCTACGGGCAGCTCTAAAAGGACAAAATGTGGATCTTCGTCAAGATTATGATGCTTTTGAAAAGTACGTAATTTGCAACATAATTTGTGTTGACTAGTTTAAAATGTATTGATCATGAGTAAAAGCATAAACATGAATGATCCGCGGAAGTCTATCTGCATTAATGTACTTGTTCACTATTTCAATGTCGTGATTAGTCACATACTTGTGATGATATTGTATTATATTCTGTTTCAGAGAAGCAAAGCTACAGATACTATGCCAAGCAATTGGCGTGAGACACCTACACGATCCCGATGAAACATATGAGCTGACATCGGATAATGCCAAAAAGATTCTGGCCATATACATGCGTCTCAGGTACTGGACAATATGCTGCGACTCACTATCTCTCAAATTTACGTTCTTCCATGTAAAGATATTTTAGAGTGCGGAATAATATTATTGCTCATGTATTTTAATTATAATTTTACTTGTTTAGATGTGGTATTCCAGTCGTAGTGATGGGTGAAACTGGATCTGGGAAAACCAGGTTAATAAAATATTTGTACCAATTACTAGCAAGACAAAACGAAGATAAAACAGTGGAAAATATGATTTTGATGAAAGTAAGTTATCATGTTAACAAAGAAATAATGCCAAACAATATGAGGGGAATATTTGAAATAGTCAATCAACAGTAAGAAGCCGACGCTTAAATGTACTTCAATTAACCCCAAACATTGTTTAAGATTTTAATTTATTCTGTCTCGAGACATTAGGTCAAGGACGTTTTTACTAATTGGTGGCGTTTCTTCCTTTTTTGTCAGATCCACGGTGGAACAACAACTAAGGACATAGTAAAAAAGGTTGGGAAGGCACAACAAATTGCAGCAGAAAACAAGGAAAAGCGTGATATTGATACAGTATTGTTTTTCGATGAAGCAAATACCACGGAAAATATTGGACTTATCAAAGAAATCATGTGCGATAAAAGAATGAATGGTGAACGGATTTCGTGTGATGAAACCAGTTTGAGATTTATCGTTGCATGTAACCCTTATCGTAGGTATGATATATATAACAACAGTTCGTCAAGCTTTACCTTTATTGGTATTTCGATATTTATACATTAATTAAGTAGTTTTGGACCCGTGGTTTAGTTCCCATGAATTCATGCGTTCGTTCATAGCTGTTTTCTGGAATCCCCTGGATCGGTTCTCTTCAACCCCCGCACATACTTACTACCTTATTTGGTACATGTACACCTGTGGTGATTTCTTGTTTCGGTCAAAAAACTGATGGCTACAGTCAAGCAGATATTTTGACATGTCTGGAACCAAAACTCGGGGTTGTATTGACCAATTTACTTCAAACTTGATGGAGGATTAACCATTATGGGTAGCTGGTGTACGCCATTTTGATTTGTAAATCCGACTCAAAATGGCCGACTGGTGACTGGCGACATGTATATCTGGTACATGCTTTGACCAATTCTGACTTTATGCCTAGATTGTGCATCATGACACACATACATACAATAATGTTGTCATCTGTTCAAAGATAGCCGACTGCTGACAGGATTATATATGCTTATGGTCGTGCATAACGAGGGTGTGCATGGCAGAATGCTTATTTTATTGAATGGCATTTATGTTTGTGTCCATTAGGCATGAAGAAAAGATGATAGCAAAACTAGAATCTGCAGGGTTAGGTTATCGAATAAAAGCTAAAGAAACAGACGACAAACTCGGTAAATACCAATATTTTATTTATATTGTACATATAGGTTCCTTGGCATTAACACGTTTAAACGCTTGTGCTTTTATTGAACAATTGAATCTCTATTTATTCATAAAACAGAAAATTCATATCAACAGTTACTATGTGTATTACTATGGATGCCTTGTTTCCCATGTCAGCACATTTGTGTTATTTAAATTATATACAAGCTATTAAATAAAACAAAATTACCAAAGTTAGTTTACAAACCTATGATATTAGTCTTTTCATATAGCAGGAAATATGTGATATTTAATATAATATATAACTTGTATGTTACAGGACGTGTGCCTCTCAGACAACTTGTCTATAGAGTTCAACCATTGCCACCAAATATGATGTCTTTGGTGTGGGATTTTGGTCAACTAAGCCAGGAAACTGAAAAGCTTTATATAAGACAGATTGTTAAACGATATGTATGAATATACTTCTGTAATTCTTGTCATAGTTATGAAATAGTAAAATTATTAAGTGATGATTTATTGTGCGTGAAATAATGTACATAATATTTTCAATATTTTTTTCATTTCAAACTCAGAAGCACCATATTCCGCCACTAACCGCAGATTGTGAAGTAATTATAACAAATATCCTGTCTTCATCACAAGAATTTATGAGACAAACAAAGGTAATTATGATATTTGAATCTGGTATTGGCGAATCTTACTTATAGTGTCGCATAAGTAAAATTAATACCCTTCACGTATGTAAAATAATGGGGGATTAGTGAAATGTGGTTCTCATCAGAAAAGAGAATACGAAAAACACGCATAACGACATTAATTAATTTGTTTACTTCTAACTTGTAAATATGTTAATTTTTCAGAATGAATGTAGTTTTGTTAGTCTACGTGACGTGGAAAGAACAATGGATGTACTTGTTTGGTTTTACAAACATCCGCAAATAGAGGATCAGATGCGAGAACAGAAAGAAAAAGACAAAGAAGACACGTACATGGTAAGAATGTTTGTTGTGGTATAAGTCGATTCCTCACTCGTTGTGTGATTACGTTTATAAACCTACTCGATTTATACCTGGGGTCGATGACCACGCAAAATTTCAATCAATAATGTACACAACGTAAACACAATGCAATTTGTTTAATGTAGTCTACAGATGTAACAGGTGTATATTTTTTCAACAGTGACATATAAAGTGATGTTTGTTATCACGTTTTGATCATAGCTACCTCGCAGACTAGAGTTAACAATACGGGTAAATTATAAGTATTACAATTATTGCACAATCCCCGAAAAGAAATATGTCCGATGAATCAAACAATGAATCGTTCAATGTTTATTTTTCAATTACCAGACATTGAATCCATTGACTCTGGCCTTAGTGTTAGCACTTGGTGTGTGTTATCATGCATGTCTACAAGATGAGAGAGAACGTTACAGAAATGCTGTGGTAGAACATTTTACAGGGCTTTGCGATGTTCCTGGCGGTGGACAACAATTTTGGACCGAAATAAACAGGTAATAAAATGTATCATACACTGAGGGTATATAACGAATTGTGTTTAATATGTTTTGCAATACACTTTTGTCACTGTCACCTTGTTTCATGTCTATTTTATTATTTTGCATCCTTTGAAGGTGTCAAGACCTGTTTCTTGAGGAATTACAAGTTCCTGAAACTATTGCAAGAAATGCAGCACTTAAAGAAAATGTATTTATGATGGTCATTTGCATAGACATGAGAATCCCCTTATTTTTAGTTGGTAAGCCTGGCAGTTCTAAGTCATTAGCTAAAACCATAGTGGCCAATGCTATGCAAGGCGAAAACTCAACATCAAAGCTGTTCACGACTTTTAAACAGGTATTCCAATATTTTCACTTGAAGTAATAATTTGTTGTCAACCTTGGTGGGTCGTAAACTTTGCCAATTGGACGGTTAGGATTCAAGCACCTGTAATAAATGAAGTGTAGTAGCTTTGAAGTTTTGTTGGCTTTTAATTTACAGGTACACATGGTATCATACCAATGTAGCCCTTTGTCAACACCAGAAGGCATTGTAAACACATTTAAGCAATGTGGGCATTTCCAAGACGGCAAAGATCTCAACCGATTTGTGTCTGTGGTTGTTTTGGATGAGGTTGGATTGGCGGAAGATTCACCTACAATGCCTCTCAAGGTATTTATTATTACATACCGAATACCGGGGTGTGCTAATTATCGTTGCAACTACAACTGGCGGTCAGCGAAGCATCTTCTAATCTAAGAATTTAGGGAATGGCTGCGGGATTTATGAAACTAACGACGTGCTTGTGTGTAATATTACATGTACAACCAACACACTCTCACGTGCAGTAGCACGGTGTTTGTCATTATATATCATTTACAGGCGTTACATCCATTGTTAGAGTGTGGCTGTGTTGAAGACGATGACCCTCCACCATACAAAAAAGTTGGATTCATAGGAATCTCCAACTGGGCTCTTGATCCTGCTAAAATGAATAGGGGAATATTTGTTTCCAGAGGAGTACCAGATTTGAATGAATTAGAAGATACTGCCAGGTAAGCTATGTTAAGCATCTGACCACATCAACAGTAATCAATACTGTCAATGTTCATTTTTTGTTGAAACATAGATGGATATACGGTTTTGGTGTAAGCACGTAATACGACTTACTTCCAAATATTTGTATGTGTGGTTGTAAATGCGCATAACTTCTACCTCTGAATGTGGGTGGTTGTCAGTTCATACTTGTACAACATCTAACAAGAGAAAAACCTTAAACTTTCATAATAGTAATATAATATATCTGCCTCCTACAGGGGAATTTGTTCAACCAATCATGGCGTTATGTTACATATTAAATCAAGCATACCTGCTTTAGCAAAGGGGTACAGAAATTTATATATTAGCAAAGAAAATTGGCCAGGAGAATTCTTCGGTCTGAGAGACTTTTACAGGTATGTTAACGTGCTTAACAGTATGTACTAATTGACCGTATAGATTATTGTTGAATTTGTAATTCTGATACTATACAATCAACCATTTACACCAACACTTTGCCATCACTTTTCCGGCACAGCCTGATGAAGATGATATATGGTTTTGCAAAGGCATCGAATAGACAACCCAGTCTCGCCCAGCTTAAACATGCAATTTTACGTAATTTTGGAGGAGGCGAAAACATCCACCCTTTAGAATATTTTGAAGATCTATTAATGAATCACCAGAATGACGAAGTGTCAGATATGGTAAACACATCATTCTTTTCTTGTTTTATTCGATAGTTTTAGTAAGTTTGTAGAATTATTTCATGATAAATGTTTCCTCTGGTAGTGATAAACATATATGCATCAATTTGTAGGAAAGATTATACAAATTCATAATTCATTATACACAAGCCTGCTGAAGTGCAATGCGCCACGGCACGAAACAGTGCTAAAATAAAACCAAAATTGCATTTTATCGATGTTTATGTTTACTTAAGGATCCCGGGTGCAGCGCAGGGTAACTTATTGAAGCAAGTCTTCACGGCTTGCCTAAAGCACATCTTGATATGGACAGGTAATTGTAGTTATACTATTTATGTATTCAATGTTACAAGAAGTGTATACGGAAGGGGGTGGAAATTGAAAACATGATTGTGGACATAACAGTGATAAATGAAAATATCTTTTGAATATCGAATAACCACTCCAAATAAACAAAAATATGCATTGTGCGCCCTGATTAATTGCACTGCAAGACGTAAGTTTTAGTTTTTTTTAATAATTAAGGTTAATGGCAGATAATTACTATAGTTATCGAGTGACATGTCATATAGAACAATATTACAAAACATATCTGATCGGCATATTTTACAGCACTATAGTTGGGTGATTTGAGATAACTTATTTTTGTTAATGTGTGTTAATTACTTGCAGTGACTTGCGATATTTGTTGATTATGACTGAGAGGTTTGCATCACTTGGTATTCTACAGCAGCAAATATTGCGAATGAAGGACACTATGATAATCTATGGAAGCAGTTTTCCAAAGGACCAGGAATTTACTCAGGTATTAAATACACATAATATTATATGCCTCCACAAATCAAAACACGGTTTAGGATAGGAGCCTCCGGGATATTCGGGGACCAATGAATCTTGTATTGTTATGCAGTGGATGCTTGTTAAAGATGGCATTTTTTGGCTTGATGGTATATATATTGTTTTCGTCAGTAATATAAATATATATCGGGTGAGCAGCATGTAATAAAAGTATTACTGATCAAATATATAGGCCCCTGCACGAAGAGCATCTGACACCCTAACGTCAGGAAAATGACCCCGTGCTCGGACACAATATTCGACCAGTAATATACTAACCACAATTTTATTACATTTAAGGTAGATTTGCAGTTTATTTGTGCATTTCAATCAAAAATAGTTTTTTTCGTTTTTTATATAGATTATTAGTCCCCGTTCGGACGCAGTCCGAAAACGGGGACTTATGTTTTGCCCTGTGTGCGTCCGTCCGTCCGTGCGCCCGTGCGTCCGTG